TTGTTTTTTTTCTTAATACAGTTTCAATGGATTAATAAAAAAATGAAATCTTGTTGAATAGAAAAAAAAACTTATGTAAGAACAATTATTTACTTAATAAAAAGAAATATTTCTTTGAAATATAGATGTCGCACATTGCATGTTCAAGATGTGTGAATCCTCACGATAAATGATGAGTAAATAGATATATAGATAAATTAACAATGTATATGTCCGAGATAACATCAAGATATCTATGTTTAGATAAATGAATGATTATTATCGATTAGAATGTTTATGAATGATCATCTGTAATCATTTGATCATCATATTCAAATATAAAAGCAATGACAAAAACCGTCAAGTAGTATTAGCAAAATCTTTTCTGATATGCTAGAAAAACATCCAATAGAATGCAATGAATATTTAATGCGTTTGTACATCTATTCGATGTAAATAGATCTAAGATCGATCAAAAATCTAAAACGATAAGCTGTTCTCAAATTCTTTAATCAACGACATTCAATACGAATGATTGATGGTTTTTTGTATATTCTTCCCAACGTTTATAACTTGATCTTTTCTCTTCCTTTTTATTTCCTTGGTGTCAGATATTGACTTTACACCGTTCGTCCTTCATCGTAAACCACATCAGTGAACTACATCGTTTTATGACGATGCAAGCTTCGCTCATATTTTCGTAAGTGTATAATCGATAAATAATAAATTTCATTGTTAGGTTTTTTTTCTTCTATGTTTTTTAATCGATAGTTTATAAGATGAGAATAATATGAAAGATGTTCAATTGATTGATAGTGTACAATCATTAACTTTTAAATATATTCACAAAAATAAATACTATTAAGATTGTTACGTTTGTATATTGTCAAACGAAGTTTACCTGGAGAGAGAAAGAGAATGAAAGAAAAAGTAATTATAACAACTAAAATTGATATTATTTCTTTTTCTTTTATATTAAACGACCAAATAGGATGATATTTTTTTTATCATATGAAAATCAAAATATTTTCTAGGTTTTATTTAGAAATTGCCCGAATATTTGAAGATGCAGCTTTTTTTTTGATTTATCATATACATATATGAAGAGAAAATGTGTCGTATTTCCCATCGTTAAACGAAATAATCGTCCTTGATTCAGCTGATGCTATTCAACTTTTTTTTATTGACAAGTGGGCTATACCACACCCCCTATCATTGACCCCTTTATCATATATCTGTTGTTTCTTTATATATCCGCCACTATTATATTGTCCTTGTATACATATTTTAAAAACAGAGAAAGAAAGAAATAGAGATCATAAGACCCATTTAATATGTGGAAATTTGTCGACGAGAAAACGATCGGTAGCGTGGTGTAAGAAAGAACGCTTAGTTGTTTTCTTTTTTTTCTTCGTAATAGCAAATATTTTCGATGTGCGTCAAAGGGTTGTTTCTATCTACACCATTACCCTTCTACGCAGCAAATGAAACCATATACAAAATGAGTACTAATATAAAGCGCCTTTTTTTTTTGCTTTCTATCATAGACAACGATGCTTTATTGATAACTGTCGTACAGCAAGAAAAAAAAATCAACTGTACACATGCCCACATACTTTTTGTGGGTTGTAAACAATAACTTCACAGTATATTTTAAATATATATATTCTAATTTTAGATATGTCGATTCTTTTGCGAATTGCATCCAGTTCATCATTATCATTAAAATTTAATAAAGGATGTAAACATGCTGTTTATCTTAAACGTTCTCTACAATCAACAGCAACAGATTCTACACGTGACACAATGGATCTCGATAGTGAAAATCAACGAGAAGATCATGGGTAATAAATTTTTATGAAGAAAAATTTTTATACATTTTTTGTTTTTTTAGAACTGGTTTTTATACTATGGTAGAAAAATTTTATGATCGTGCTGCAAAAATTCTTGAAGATAAATTAGTTGATGATATGATTAAAACAAAATTAAGTGAAGAACAAAAACGTCTTAAAGTACGCGGAGTATTAACAATGATGAAACCACCAAATTATGTTTTATCTTTGACATTTCCTGTACGACGTGATTCTGGTGAATGGGAATTAATTGAAGCATGGCGTGCACAACATTCATTACACCGTACACCATGTAAAGGTGGTATACGTTATTCATTAGATGTTAATTTAGATGAAGTTAAAGCATTAGCAGCTTTAATGACATTTAAATGTGCTTGTGTTAATGTACCATTTGGTGGTGCAAAAGCTGGTGTTAGGATTAATCCAAAAGGTAGAAGAAAAACAACTGCTAGAAATTTATCTAATAAGAAAAAATAAACATCAATTTTTGTGTTTTGATAGATTGGTCAGAAGGTGAATTAGAACGTATAACTCGACGATTAACAGTTGAATTAGCTAAAAAAGGTTTTATTGGACCAGGTATTGATGTACCAGCACCAGATATGGGTACTGGTGAACGTGAAATGGCATGGATTGCTGATACTTATTCATCAACAGTTGGTTGGGAAGATATAAATGCAAGTGCATGTGTTACTGGTAAACCAATTTTACAAGGTGGTATTCATGGACGAACATCAGCTACTGGTCGTGGTTTATATCATGGTGTTAATAATTTTATTAATGAAAAATTTTATATGGATAAAGTTGGTTTAACAACAGGTCTACAAGGAAAAACATTTATTGTTCAAGTATATTAAACTATATGAAGATTTATTTGAAATATTTGTTTTTCTTCAATAGGGTTTTGGTAATGTTGGTCTTCATTCAGCACGTTATTTGGCAAGAAATGGTGCAAAATGTATTGGTGTACTTGAATGGAATGGAGGTATTATTAATCCTGATGGAATTGATCCAATAGCACTTCAAGATTATCAATTTGAACATGGTACTATTGTTGGATTTCCCGGAGCGAAACCTTATCAAAATGCCGATAAACAAGAATTACTTTATGAACCATGTGATATTCTTGTACCAGCTGCCAGTGAACAGCAGATTACATCAAAAAATGCTCATCGTATTAGAGCTAAAGTGAAATTTTTAGTCTTTTCTTAGGAGATTTTCGTTCTTTGTTTTTTAATCAAATGAACTATTGAATAGATCATTGCTGAAGGAGCTAATGGACCAACAACACCAGCGGCAGACAAAATTCTTCTATCAAAAAATATTCTAGTTATCCCAGATTTGTATATTGTAAGTATTTATTTTCATAAAAACCAACTTGATTTAATAAAATATCCTTGTTTTTTTTCCTATTTTAATAAAGAATGCTGGTGGTGTTACAGTATCTTATTTTGAATGGCTTAAGGATCTTAATCATTCATCCTATGGTCGATTAACATTCAAATATCAACGAGATACAAATTATTCACTTCTTGGTAAAACTCCTTCTTTATTAAGATCACGCCTCCTCCCCCTCATAAATCGATCTCAGAACAGGAAGGTTCGAATGATATGAAATTTTCAGGCCTATATCCCTTTTAGGATCGAATTTTTTTCATCGAGCAAAAAACATTTTTCAACCTTTTTATTTTATTTTAACTCAAAATGGCTACATAAAAATGTTATGATAATCAAAAAAAAAGAATCTTTATCATCTTCTAAACAAACTGGTAATTTGCAAGTAAAGCAGTTAATGTTCGATCGAAAATCTGCTTCCTTGGTGCTAAAATAAGCACAGCTTCTTCTTTTTTGCTTTCATAGGCAAATGCATTTCATTGTCCAAACGGTATGAAATGAAATAAAGAGTACAAGTTCGAAAGAGAATTGATATATTTTGGAAATTCAAGAATAATGTAAATTCGTCAATGAAAACGGGAGTATATATATATATATATACCCAATATGGAATGAGAATATTCTCGAAAAACAAAAGATCAAAGGAGAAGGGAGAAATTATGATATCACTACATCTTAGCAGCAAAATCAAAGAATATTTGAAAAATAGTTATATGAGAGAAGGAAAGAAAAGTATGAGATGAAAAATGTAGTTACTTATGATCTTACATATTTAAAAGTTTAATGTGAAATAAACACTTTTTTTCTTTACTGAAAAGTAGGTGGGTTAAAACTGACCCAACGGTCCTCAAAGAGATATGATAACGTATGAGGAAGATATTGGTCAAACAAGGATGGAAAGAAAATAGCTCATTTCATCTCCAAAAATTCTCTAGTCTTCAGACTATATATTTAATATTTGTTTTTGTTTTGAAAAGGCATGTCAGAATGTAGTGACCATGACAGACACTAGTCAAAGGTCATCACAGATCAGGACAGATGCTAGTCAAAGGTCGTTACAAACGCTAAAATACAGTTACTATCTAATTCAAAAATAAATAAACAATTCTGAAAAAGTAAAATTTCAATGGGTAAATCTTTAAGTGAAATGAGCAATTACCCATTTGTCCAACTTTTGGTTACGCCGTTATCCTAAAACAATCTTCCTATGATTAACAATAGTAGTTACATTGTGTTTTTTATATTTTAGAGATTACACTAACAGCTTTTCTTTTTTTTTTTTGTATAAATTTAGAAAGTGTACAGAGCTCATTGGAAGCAAAATTTGGAAAAATGGGAGGCAAAATTCCAATTGTAAAAAAGAAAATTTTATTTAGAATTTAAAAAAAAGAAAAATTTATTTTTTCTTCTTAGATACCAAGTGACGAATTTTATAAACGTATGGCAGGTGCTTCAGAAGTTGATATTGTTCATTCGGGTCTTGAACAGACTATGGAACGAGCAGGACAAGCTATTATGACAACAGCTAAAAGCTTTGATTTAGGTTTAGACTTACGTACAGCTGCTTATGTGACAGCATTAGAAAAAATTTATACTGTTTATTCAGCTGCTGGCATGACATTTGGTGTTTAAAACACAACTTAATGAGTATTCATAAATATCTAATGTTGTGTCTTTATCAGATATTTTCTTCCGAAAATTTAAGCTCACATAAAGAAAAAAAAAAATAAATACGCTTCTTAATTTTTAGATTAAAGAAACAAAAGAAAGCTCATGTTGAACGTAGTTACTCGTAATAATAGACCTTTATATCGACTTTCGAATCTTTCATATCATACATCATCTATATTGAATTCTTCATCTCAAACATCAACACATGATCATTCACATTTTGGTTTTTATCGACAAGTTGAATTATTTTATGATCGTGCTGCAAAAATTCTTGAAGATAAATTAGTTGATGATATGAAAGTAGCGAAATTATCTGATGATTTAAAACATAAAAAAGTTCAAGGAATATTAAAAATTATTAAACCATGTAATCATGTACTTGAAATACGTTTTCCTATACGAAGAGATAATGGAGAATTATTTATGATTGAAGCATATCGTGCACAACATTCACAACATCGTATACCATGTAAAGGTGGTATACGTTATTCATTAGATGTTAATTTAGATGAAGTTAAAGCATTAGCAGCTTTAATGACATACAAATGTGCTTGTGTTGATGTACCATTTGGTGGTGGAAAAGCTGGTGTTAGGATTAATCCAAAAGGTAGTAAATAAATTTTTTTTTTATTAAAAAAAAAACACGTTTTTTTTTTTTTTTTTTTATATTAATAAGATTGGTCGGAAGCGGAATTAGAACGTATAACTCGACGATTAACAGTTGAATTAGCTAAAAAAGGTTTTATTGGACCTGGTATTGATGTACCAGCACCAGATATGGGTACTGGTGAACGTGAAATGGCATGGATTGCTGATACTTATGCATCAACAGTTGGTTGGGAAGATATTCATGCTAATGGTTGTGTTACTGGTAAACCAATTCTTGTTGGTGGTATTCATGGACGAACATCAGCTACTGGCCGTGGTTTATATCATGGTTTAGATAATTTTGTTAATGAAGCTTCATTTATGTAAGAAAACAAATTCAACAAAATTTGAATTATTTAGGTCAAGAAATAAGGACCGTTGTTAGTCGGAAAACTAAGAAAAATGATAGAAACTTGGAAGCAGAAATCCAGTGGCTGACTGTACTTGATTACAGCTAATTACAATCGAAACTACTATCCATTTCTAAATATAATGTACTCTACTGTTTTTCTAATATCTTTCGATAGAAACATCATACAGATCTGCGGTTTTCGTCATTCAAAAAGAGAAGACCTGGAACTATCGAAATTTGATTGATCAGCGATTGACAAACCAGGTTGGTTCTTGGTGGAGATTTCTGAAACTATTTTCTTTTCGACTTAGACTTTTGATAGAACTAATCAATAGAAAAAGATTCTTCGCTATTGATCTTCACAAGGCCATCATTTCTAGATTGCTCCATTCGAGAGTTATAAAACTTTACCCGAAACTGTCAATTGACCTGTGATCACCTGAAGAAACAGCTAGGCAGCAGTAATTTACAATGCTAAGTCAAATGATAATAGTTTTTTAGGTTCCTCTTCTTGAGATAATAGATTTTCAAAAACCAACTGTCTTCTACCGAGGAAAGATCTTCAAATGATTCATCGCTTTTAAGTCAGGACTATCTGCATCATGTAGATCCTAATGAGCTATGACTATCCTGAAAAGAGTTCAAGCTGAGAGCTTATTACTACCAAGATACTTCATTTTTATGGTATTTTTTAACCATAGTACCGTAGGTCTCCCTCAGGAACATCAGAAAAACTGAGTTTGAAATTTCAACTCGAAACTTTGTATATTGACAAATCTCAATGAGGATAGTTTATTGTAAAAGTTTCAGATATCTTAGTTATTCCTATCCTACGATACAGTTATGGAAAAGCATACATATACATCGCTCTTACTCATCAAGGTTCTCATTTCAGAAGAGAAGCAATCAGAAAATCTGAAACTTTTACAATAAACTATTCTCGTTAGGACCTATCACTGTACAAAGTTTCGAATCGAAATTTCAAACTTTATTTTTCTGATGTTCCTGAAGGGAACTCGGTATTGTGCTTAAAAAATACCATAAAAATGAAGTATCTTGGTAGTAATAAGCTATCAGCTCGAACTCTTTTCAGGGTAATCATAGTCCATCAGGATCTACATGATGCAGATAGTCCCGACTTAAAAGCGATGAATCATATTGAGGCTTTTTCTCGGTAGTATTTCACCACTCACTAGGATCTACAAGGTAAAAGTAGACTGAATCCGAAAGCTTTCTATCATCTCGAGAGGTTCCCTCGTCAGCATTGAGAATTATTAATGCCTAGCTGCTTTTTCGGATGATCACAGGTCAATTGACTAGAATCGAGGGTCTCAGGAAAAGGCTTGTAACTGTCGAACGAAACAAGTTAGTGATGTCGGTCATGTGTAAATCGAAAAAGAATAGCTTTTTCTATCGATTAGTTCTAGTGGCCCTGGAAGTCTTCCCTGTTGAATGATGAAAACCACAGAGCACTGTGATATTCTTATCAAAAATTATTCAAAAAGCAGTGTAGTACATAATATTTTGAAATGAATTACAGAAAAACTCAGCCATCGAATTTCAACTCCCAAGTTGCTACCAATTTCCCGAGTTTTTCCGGCTGGAAGTTCACGGATCTAGGCGCTAAAATCATTGACCTAGGATAATTATCAAGTACTACTTTTTCTTAGGGGCATGGTTGGCCTTTTACCTGGTCTTGCTGGTAAAACGTTTATTTTACAAGTATGAAAAAAATTTTAATAAAAAAAAACTTTTTTTCTTCGTTCTTAAAGAAAAAATTTCCTCTTTTAATAAGGGCTTTGGTAATGTTGGTCTTCATTCAATGCGTTATTTGACAAGACATGGTGCAAGATGTATTGGTGTACTTGAATGGGATGGAGCTATTGTTAATCCGGATGGAATTGATCCAAAAGCACTTGAAAATCATAAAATTGAACATGGAACAATAATAGGTTTTCCAGGTGCTAAACCATATGCAAAAGAACCAAAAGAAGACTTACTTTGTGAACCATGCGATATTCTTGTACCGGCAGCTAGTGAAAGACAAATAACTTCAGAAAATGCTCATCGTATTCAAGCTCGAATTATTGCTGAAGTAAATTATTGTTTTTATTTTTGTTATTATTACAAGAAAAAAAAGAAAATATTTAGGGTGCAAATGGTCCAACAACACCAGAAGCTGATGCTGTTCTATTAAAGAATAATGTTCTTGTTATTCCCGGTTTGTTTTGAAAATGTTTAAAAATAAAAACAAAGAACACAATAATTGGATTTTGTTTATTTTAGATTTATATATCAATGCTGGCGGTGTAACAGTATCTTATTTTGAATGGTTAAAAAATCTCAGTCATGTTAGTTATGGTCGATTAACATTTAAATATCAACGTGATACAAATTATTCATTACTAGGTAATGTTTTTCTTTTTTCGTCTCATACATATATATATTTACATTTATTGGTATTTTAATAGAATCAGTCCAAAGTTCATTAGAAGCCAAATTTGGACGTATGGTATGTAATTTAATATATATATATATTCATTTTTACAATTGTACTATTTGTCTAAAATTAATTTTTTTGGTAATTCTAGGGTGGAAAAATCCCAATCGTAAGTAGAAAAATTCTCTTGTTTTTTTCTAATTAAATTAATTTCATAACGTTTCTTTTTCTCTTTTAAAAAGAAACCAAGTGATGAATTTTTAAAACGTATGGCTGGTGCATCAGAAAAAGATATAGTACACTCAGGTCTTGAACAAACTATGGAAAAAGCAGCACGTGCAATAATGCAAACAGCAATACGTTATGATCTTGGTCTTGATATTCGCACAGCAGCATATGTAAATGCTATTGAAAAAATTTATAAAGTTTATGTTAGTGCTGGTATTACATTTGGATCATAGATGTTCATATCGACTATTTGTGTTTCATATAAACGAACTTTTATAAGATAAAACAAACAAAACATAAAGAATAAATGTATACAGCTATCCAGTGTCAGTCTAGTTTTTTTTTTATTATTCCAACCATTTCCATTGTTATTGTAATTCATGAAATTTTAATCTTACTTGCTCGATTTATTCAGTACCTAATAATCCAGCCGATTAGTTTTAGTAATAAAAGTCAAAGAAAAGCATAACTGATTTGATTTTGTATTGATGCTTGGGAATAACAAAGAGAGAAAACAAATACAGGAAGTTAAGGGAACTCTTCTTCTTTTTCTAGGTTTCTCAAGAACGACTCAATCAAAATTTCTGAAACTTTCAGGATAGATACATCTCGACTATTAGAATAAAAATTGTCATAGACACAGAATTCTTGGATGCTGTCTTCTATCAGATATACAAGACGCAAAGGCCAACAATGACCTGAAGTTCCCTTCTGCAAGCAGCCATTTTTAAAGATGTTTATATGAAAGCTAACTGAAAATACTTGGTGACATACTCAACAAGCGTAATAAGTTACAAGAATTGATGTATACAAATCATGCATTATGTGGAAGTTAATTATGAAGAATAGAAAATAAGTTACTAGAACTAGAAACAAAACACTTGGTCCCGCATATCTCTAGTTATGATGTGTATCACATCCGTCTTCCTCTGTCATCAGTCAAAACGCCGGAAAATAAATCAACACTGAGAATTTTCTATTTTTCCAAAAATACAAATATCAATGATGCTTTTCTGTAATATCCTATAAAGTAAAATTAGAAAGTTTCGAACCAGCCATGGTAATTCATTTTATAAAGCACATTTTTGATTATTTCTATTAAAGTTCGTCTTATGATTTTTTTTGTTTTTAATATTGTTGCCATTTTCTATAGTTGATATGGAACATATACTTTTAATGCTGTGCAAAGAACACTAGAAAATAACGTGATGAGAATTTGAAAAGAAAAAATATTTATGCAATTATATATAATAAAACGATAGCCAGAGTTATATATATTTAATTTCATACACTAAAGTAATATCACTGCTTGAAAAATATTAAGATGATTCAAATTATCGAATCATATAAGAATGAAACTGAGAAAAATGATTAAATCCTTTTTTAACTATTCCATAATATATTATATAAACCATTGGTTACATCTTCGAGACAGATGTACACAAATGTATACTAAACAAATCTTAGGATATTGAGTCATGAGAATATCTTAGTTCAATATTAAACAAAATTAACAATGAACAGAATCTCAATGTTATTATGAATTTTTTCACACAATGAATAATCGATCAAAATCAATATTCACAAATATTTTGACTTTATCCAATTGATTGGCATTCAGTGAATATCATTCAACATATCCAATCATTGATAACAATAATAATACATGTTAATATTGAGAAAAGATTCAATCTCAAAAAGATGAAAACAATGTTGCATAAACTATTACAAAATAAATACGTCTGTAACCGAAACTTAAGACAATATATAGTAACTTGTAGGTATTCTTTGATGAGAAAGAATGTAATTATACACTATATGATGAACAAGAAGATAAACAAAAGTATTATTCGATAAAGAAATATTTGATTACACAATATAACTATTGATGAATAAGAACATCCATCAATCAATTGGTCTATTTAGGTAATATCATTAAGAGTTATGATCTATTGAAAATAAAATTAGTCTTCTACACTTGTAATAATGACTTTGATGAAACAATAGATTTTTTCATAGGTTTTATAAGAAAAAAAAATTATGAAAGGAAATTTAATATCAACATTATTTATAAGAACTATCAGGCAATTACAAATGTATTATAAACGTTTTTTCTATTTTTATTCTTCTCCCAGAAAATAACAGAACTATAGAATCAAATCTACACAGAATTTCATAGACTGTTAGTCTTACATAGTTTCATACACGAATCTCAGCGAAAGATTCGTGCAAAAAAAAGACATCCCCAATGTAGTTTATCAAGACTAGAGATGTGCGGGACCAAGTTGTAAATTCTTTATCTACCAGTCTTGGTCTTGGTAAAGTTTTATTTTTTATTTTTTTTTGGTCCCACACATCTCTAATCAGAACACTGGGATATATAATATCATATTATAAATATTATAAAATTATACGATTAAAAACAAAAAATTTCTAGTTTACATAATTGACATCAATCAATTGAATGTTCACAGTTTTCTATGAATTGTTATTCAATAATTTTGTTTTCTTGAAATTTTTTCAAAAGATGATATTCAGCTGCATCAATTCTTTTTTGTCCAACCTGTCTTGCTGTTATTGCTCGTGTTCTATTAATTATTAATAATGCTTGATCAATAGTAAAATGATAAAGTCGTAAAAGTAAATATGTTATTGTACCAGTACGATGTAAACCAGCTGCACAATGAATAATCATTTTAACTGGTGTTGTTATTGTACTATTTAAAAGAAGATCATAAATTATAGGTAATCGTTCAATAAGTATATCAATCGTTGTTTGTGATGATGTAAATATTGAAAGATCAGCACCTTCAATAGGTATATATAATGATTCAATACCTGCTAATTTAATACGATTACAAATATCTGATTGATTGATTTCATTATGATTTAATAATGACAATATATGAGTGACACCTAAATCTTGTCGAAATCGTTTTAAATCACGTCGACCTGGTAAATGCCAACAAGCAATTTGACTATAAGATGAAATTGATACAAATTGAGGTTGATTTGGAGTAGGTAATGATGGAATAGATTGATGATCATCATGATCAGTAATAAATATTTCACCAAGAAGATTATAACGAATTTTAGTAATAAGTTCTTCGTTTGTTTCATTATTATTTTGAATTAAAATTTGTAAATTATATCTATATAATTTATTATTCAATGAAAATTCTTTTTCATATGATAATGATGATAATTCAGTACATTGAACATTTTTCAATAGAATAATCATTGCATATTCACTACGTAAATAATTAATACCTGTCAATAAATAATTTTCAATTATATTTGGAGTACATTGTAATGATACATGACAATTATCTTTTGATATTGGTAAAAAATTTTTTAAACAAATTTCTTGAAATAATTGTAAATCTTCTTCATTTTCAGCAATAATACTCAAACCAAAATTTTCATTTTTAATAAAATTATCATCTTGTAATATTTGTTTATTAATATCCGTATTTAACATATCAGATCCCTTTTTTTTTTTGTTTTAATATGTTAATCAATGAAATAAGTTTGTTTTTTAGATTTATTCTTCAAATGGCCTATCATATGTCATATATAATGTTACTATAGTCACGATTTATATTTTTTTTCTTTCTTCATATTTCAAAACACACGTTTATTTATGATGCAAGAACTACTAATTCAATAACAAAGAAACGAGATGATGAAATGCAAAAATATGCAAAGATTCATTTAGAATGAGAATAAACAACACTTGAAGCAATGTATTGCGCAGCCAAATTTCATTTATTTGAAATAGATTTGATTCTCTAATACCAACCTATTTGACATACTAATGTTTAAAGAGAAACGTATAAGACGATACTTATAACATTTTGAAGTCAATAAAAAATCTACATGTTTTTTTCTTTTGTATTTCTACTTTGATCTAGTTATAGATTTTCTATATCATTTCATTCATTTTTAATCTTTGATACAAATGTAAATTTATACATAAAGAAAAATGAACTAAATTGAAGATTGTATTACAGAAGAATAATTCAATGAATAATAACACAAAAAGATAAGGGATTAGATAAATAAATTTCATACGTATATAATCACCGGTGACTGCTGATATTTTCTATTAGAAAAAAGGGAAAAAAACAGGCACGCACTAATCTAGACGATTATTTTGTTGTTTTCTTTTTTTTTTTTTGTTTTATTACAAGATACATAAAAACATATCCTGAATTTGAAATAGTTAATAATATATTGTTCAATCATCATAAGTAGGCATATGAACAATTTCATATGTATCATTATCAATACGAAAACGTAATTTCGATTTTTCCGATTGTAATCCACAACAGAAACAACAACTAAGTATTGTTGTAAATAAAGTTGTAGCAATAGCAGCAACCGTTAACCAAAAAGCTAAACCTAAACGTTCAACTTCTATTAACCATGGATTTAACGCAACAACTAATGCTTCAGCTTGATTAAGTTCATATGTAAAATCAGGTCTATGTAAACGTTCTTGTATCCATTCATATAAAAATATACCTAAAGCACCAGCACCACATAAAAATGATGCTAAAGAAAAAATACTAACAAATGCAAATGGTATTGAATAAAAACGTTTAACACAATTTGTACAAAATATAATTAATAAAGCCAAAAATGTTAATATTGGTGCAGCAATAAATAAAAGAAACATAATATAATATCGAATACGTTTAACATAATAATGAAAATCTTTTGGAGAATTTCTATATGTTGATAAATAACGTGGTAATGCTTGATCACCAATCCATGTTGATTGCCACATACAATTTCCCTTTGGCCAATAATAACGTTTTTGACTATATTGACGTGTACAATCTTTTTCATCAATATATGTTGGACAATCAGGTATATTATCACATCGTGTCATCTAAAAAGGAAGCAAAAAAAAAATAATCTACTTAAAATTTACAAAAATAATTTATCAAAAATTTTAACTTACACAACAACCTGTTTCTGTACATATACGTAATGTTTGATTACATCGTTCACAAAATAATGTTGAAGGTGTTTGTGCACCATATTGATATGTTGGTTGTGGTTTAATTGTAAGTAAATTAATCCATTTATAATCTAAACAATAGCCAAATAAACCATAACGTGAACGAAATGCATGTCGAATTGTTTGTAAATCAAATTGAATATTATTATTAGAATTAATATTTGTTTGTAAACGTTGGGGTCCTTTTCTTGAGCTATAATGCTGAATTAAATTTTCATCAATACGGCTCCAACGTGTACTTATAAATGAATAACAATAGAGACCAATTGATGCAAGCATTGGTATAACAATAAGTATAACCAGTATACTGACCTTCATTTTTTTTATCTTTCTTTTACTTCTATACGTTTGTTTTGTTTTTTTTTTCTAATCTAAAAATCTGCAATAATAAAACACGACTCGAACATATAGTGAGAGGATGAAAAAGCAAAAAAAAAAAGACACGCTCGATTTGTATTATATGAAGGAATACAAAAAAAACAAAAACGACGATAGTAATAGCATACATAGATATAATAATGGCTGCGCCTGCTGTTACGCGAAATACGCCACAGTAACGTATCCTCTTACGAGTATCTCTCTATTTTAGATTCTGACACATCATCATTCCATAAATGAGGTTTACATTCTTCTTTGTAGAAATTCTGCTTATAGTGGCTGGAGGATGTTAACCTTTTTCTTTTTCTTTCTTCTCCTTGCTTTCCTCTCTCTCGCTTTTTACTTACGATTGTTATTCTCACAAAAACAATCAACGAATGAAATTTTTTTTCGTACAACCTCGACGCGCAAACACATCCATTAAACGAAAAAAAAACAAAAGAAGGCATCAGCAGTAGCAACAATCAGTTATATTGCTACTCATCTTGTTCAATTGAACAAGAAGATCATAGAAAGAAATATAACTACTTACAATACTGGCAAATTATATTATTTACATACATAGACTTTTATGTATATGTAATTCTGACCCTCCCGTTTCTAACTACTACTCGTCACTTATATTATACATATATATAACTAAGTCGATTACGTAGTCATTATTATCAACACAAATGTTAGCATACATAAATACAATGAATGATTCATATCATTTATTTATATGCATACATCGTGTAAAGATAGGATAGTCTAAGACTTTTGTATATACATAGACATAAGGTACTTTGCTGTAGATTGACAAGAAAAGTGCGTCACTGAAAAGCTCTCTTCTAACGATGAAAGACATGAAGATAATATATATATATATATATATATATATATATTTTGTAATTTATGGCTAGCAAAAAGCCATCGGCTGACAACTGATGAATACTTACTCATAAACAAAATAAAAAAAAAATGTAAGATATTAGTCCTTGTGAAAATTTCTCGAGCAATAAAAAATGCGTTAATTATTATTATCATATCAATGTAAACGAATGAAGCAGTGCATAGCAAAAAGAAGCAAAAGAAAAAAAAGGAAGCTCGACAGTCAATAATATAAGTGATAACGTATCAAGCACAGAAAAAAACAAACCACATTTTTGTAACCACAGAATAGCAGAGGTAAATAAAAAAGTGTAACCAGCTGCAAAAGGAATAAGAGAATGAATGAGTAACTGACGAAACAAGGACAGTGAGAAAAGAAGAGAAAAAAAACGAGAAGAGAAAATCTGATACAGACACCAATCATGTCTATATGTGAATGAGAACTGACACATACGATAGTGGAATAGATGTTTTTATCATAACAATACGAGTCATTGGCATAGGACTTGATGTTTTTATTTTTCGTTAATAAAGAATAAAATTCTTTCGATTACCTTGAATTTAAGAGCGTCGGTCTGTTGACTTCGACGCATTTCTTTTCAATCAACATTCTCTAATTATTAATTATACATTTTTCATGAAACTTGACGGTTACTTTTAAATATAAAATTCATGTGAACCTTGGCCTTGTCATTTTTGGACATAGAACAATTTCATAATCAACAACAAGTTGATGAATATAACTGAGCTGATAACTTGTTAAGTAAGTAGCATCATTTTACTGTATACAAAGAGAAAAGGTTAAATAGGAAAATTCATACTTTTGAAGGTTTCATATATATACAATGATTTGTTTGACCAAAACATTTGATATTTTTATTTTCTAGAATCATAAAAATTAATTTTCATTTTGTTCACACAAAGATCAAATATTATAATTTTCATTTCTGCTTAATGTTTCAAATATATATATATATATATATATATATATATATATATATATATAATTCCATATGAATAAGTTTATTCTTTTGTAATATGAAACCGAATGGCAGAGGCATAATTTACCTTGATTTTTTTCCATACATGTTTATGACAAAATCAATTTGCAAAATGAAAGAATATTTCAAGAATAAATAAGAACACAGTGAAAAAAGTCCTTGATGAAATTGTACTTTTGCAGTTGACAGTTATGGTTACGATGAATGTGTTAGCATTTTCATGTGTGCCGTGTTTCGCATAAGTTTCGGACACGATTCCAAAAGAACATGAAGTTAACATTTTATTTTATTCATTTAAATCTGTTCTATAACAATCACATTTATTTTATCTGGACAAATAAATATATAAAATATATTTTGAGACCTTTGAATAAAATTATGAAGAAATGTTTCAAAATACTATAAAAGTCGATGTCGACTTTGTTTTTTTATAAAGCAGATTCAAATAATAAATAACATATGAATCATATATTGTTTTTATATTATACGAAAAAAAAAAACGAATACATTAAAATGATATTCTATTCGTATTTTTGGTAGTAGAGTATTAATAAGCCAAACAGAATGATTAATGTTGGCTAGCGCCGTCTGTCGATTTCTATACCGATTTGAACAATCCAACACCTGTCATACAACAGAGAAAGAAAGAAAGAAAGAAAAAAAAAAGATCATCAGCCATTATGTATTCTATTTCGTAGTAGTTTGAAAATCTTTCTTCAAAAGAAAATGACTGATACACGATCACTTTCAACATCATCTTCCGCAACATCAAATAATGTTAATAATACAACAAATTTGACTTCATCTGTAGTACCTGATCTTGATAATATGAATAATTTAACAACATATGTAAGTTTGATTGAATGATAATTTTATATATATATATATATATTTTTTTTTATTAATTAGATAAATACAATATTTCGTCAAATGGAAGAAAAATTCATGACTGCTAGTGAACAAGTTATGAATCGTATGAATGAATTAGGTCGAAGAATTGATACACTTGAAACAAATATTAGTGATATTATGTCACATTTACCAACAGAAGAATCAAATTCAACAATACAACAGCAAACAAAATCATAAAATCAGATGTTTTCTTTATGTATAAATAAAACTTATTTGTTATTTTCATTGTTCTCAGAATGATATCGTAGATTCATGTTTTTTTTTCTGGCTAAAGGGAGACATATAATTACGTTTTTTACTAATCTTAATGGTACTTTGAATATGCCATTACTGAATAATAATGATCAATCAATATGTTCTTTTTTTATTTGATTATCACAAAATGAGATTAATTTCAATGTTAAGAATATCATTTAGGGAATATTTTTATATATAAAATATAATATATCCATTCTATTACAACTTTTAATTGATTTTATGATGAATAATAGGATTTATTATCGTTGAAAGAATATTTATGACTATAAGCAAATGGATCTTGAATCATGCCTATATATATATATCTAATAAGAGATTTATTATAAAGTTTGTGTCCTCTTTGTCAATATAGATAATCAAGAAACAATGTTAAGTATACACAAAGACGCAAAACGTGTCAAAATTCCATCATCATTAATAATTCTTTCAAATAACTTGTCAAGTTCTGTTTATAGACCACGAAATATTTCTATCTTAATAAATGGAAGTAGAATAATCAACGAAAGTGTATTTTTGAATATCAAGATATAACAAAAAAAAAAAAGCTTTTAATACAATTCATATAAAAAGAACTATTTGATGTAGGAATGAAAAGAATTTAGTAATATTATTTCTTATTTCTAAGTTACTACATACTAATGAATCAGCTTCTTATTAGAAAAGAATATGTTAATTATAATGTGTCATGGAAGACGTCAATTGATAGACATGTAAAGTCTACATTCCTTTCTCGCATCACAGAGGGTGACAGATATTTATGTTTATCAGAGTTGCAATCATGTGGATCCTATTTTCTTGTTATAAGTTGTAATAAGCATCAATAATAATGCTGCTAGAATTTCGTATATACACACATATATATATATATATATATATATTGTATTACAAGATAAAAACTCTTTTATTTTTAAAATATAATAATGATGTTTTGTTTTGTCATAAACTCGATGAATAAGATAGATAAATATTTGAATTTATTTCTATCGAAAATTCTTGATAGCATTTGTATCTCAGGAATTATCTAATACATTTTAGCTATAAATTCCGTCTACAAACAATGTACTCAGTTATACTTGTTCTTTAGATTGTTATAACTCAGCAAGTTTTGTTTTTCTACAGTGAAATATTTAGTATATTTAACATTATTAGAGAAATCAACGTGTTTAATGCTACTATTGTCCATTTCAAAATATATAGTGCGCTCCAGTGGTTTTGGATTAGCTCAAGAATGTAAACAGCTAGAGACCTGCAATTTTTAGCAATCGAAAGAGGAGACAAGGAAACGTCTTTTTCTCCAATATTGTATAAGAGGAAATCATTTGGAAAATCAGTCATGTCTGCAAAATATTACAAAAAAGGAATGAAAATGACCTGTCATTCCGATGAAATTTTGGTCTTGACATGTAACCCAGATCGGAGGACTTCAGATCTATAATTCAACATATACTTCGTATAATTATCTGCCTACATCCTAATGTTGAATAAATAACATCGTCTATTTACTCGCACGAAAACTATAGATTTCTTTTATTTTTTAAGCGAATTGTCTTACTTTTTGTCAAAATTTTATTGGAATGACAGATCGTTTTCATGCATTTTTTGTAATGTTTTTCAAAAATGACTGATTTTAAAATGATTTCGTCTTATACAATATTGAAGAAACAAACGTCCCCCCCCCTGTCTCCTCTTTCTATTATTGAAAATCGCAGATCTCTAGCCGTTTGCATTCTTGAGTTAATCAAAAAATACTGGAGCGCACTATATTTTGAAACTGACAATATCTATGATGATTCTTAGTCAAACAAGTGGGTGTAAGTGTGGGTAGAAATTTATTCCACGGACACCCACACCCTCTACGGCCAAGGATTTCTTATTGTAATCTTGCACGGAAAGGGTTTATTAATTTTGTTCAACAATAGGTAGATATAAAATTAAATATATTTATTTATTCGGTCTAGATTTGATCGAACGACTTGTTGAACAAACAGTAAGTATAAAATCAGATAAATGAATTTTTTAAATTTTATCTCGATATTGTGGAACAGTTTGTTTAACAATAAGTAAGTATTAAATTTTAAAAATTATTTTTTTACTTTATTTAGATATCGTCGAACAATTTGCTCAATAATGATAAGTTTAAAATTTAAAACAAATTGTTTTTCATTTTATATAGATTTCGTCAAACAATTCGTTCAACAACAGGTAAGTATAAAATTTAAAACAAATTATTTTTTTCTTTTATTTAGAGTTGATCGAACAATTTATTCAATAATAACTATTTTTAAGATTCAATAAATTTATTTGTTTGTTTAGATTTGCTCCAACATTTCATCGAGATGAAGACGTAGATTTCGGCCTATAGTAAATTTTTCTTAACCTTTTAGAAGGGTATATTGATTTTCTAAACCCTTTCATATATACCTGAGAAGAGTATGGGTGTGGGTGTGAGGGTATGGGTGTGTGGTGTAGGTAAGGGTGGGCATGTTTCCTTACTCCATACCGACACCCACTTCCCACTCACACCCAAGGAGTATAGTTGTTATTGCACTCTCTCTCCATAATATCACCTTGTGAGCTTATTTCTTCACGAGCAGTTTAAAGTTTACTCTTCGAATAATAGATTTGAAGTGTATCAAGCTATACTCACCCATGTCATACGTCAAAATAATAAAAGGAAAAACGGAACTACATAAAGGTATTAATATGTCTTCGTATCATATATATTCCTAGAATCATAGCAAGATAAAGGTATTAGTACTTCTTATCATACACATTCCTAAAGCCATGAACAATAACAATAAAAGAAAAAATGAAAGTAGATACACATATAAATACCTGTAAGATTTATAGAAGTTTATAATTATTTATTGGAAGAAAGTCTATTATTCGCTTTGAATACTGGTAAGTCATCATCGGTGTTAGATTATAACTTCGTGATAACGAGAAAGACTACTATTTCGAATCTTATGGATGCTGACGGTATCTACGCGTTTCATTTTAGCACTATTTGTGGAATGGAGTTTAGCATTCGTCAGTAAAAAGAACGTTAGTAGTTCATCGGTAGATCAAAGTGTATTGAAAATCTTTGACAAGACACGTCAAAATCTGTATGGTTTCTTTGTATATCCGCGATAGTACAAAAGCATCATTATCACCAGTTTACAACCGTTGAGAGTTCGTGTTGAAGTTGAAATGACTATACCTGGCACCAACGCAAAAGAATCGCTCACAGCAGAAGGTAAAGACTGAGGGTGGATAAGGCCATTTTTCTGCCCCCAACAAAATTAGCTTTTTTCTATCGATTTGAAGTAAAACATAACTTCTGATGATATTCCATAGGATTTTTTTCGCATAGCTCATTAAACGATTTTTAGGACCTGTGATTTCCACAGGAATCTCTGAAAAACGTTTTATTTTCGATTTCATTTAAACACATATTTCTTGATAGAGTCAAGTATGCTGATTACGAATATCAATATATTAAGTGTTGAAAGCTTTTTAGTAAACAAAAAATCAATTCTTTTTGAGATGCTTGTTTGGCTTTATATCCAGATTTTTAGTTCTGTATCTTCTTCATTTATTATTCTAATCTTGTGAAAAAATATTCATAATAGCTAAATCAACGTGATCTTGTCCAATATGAACTATGAAAGTCCTTTCAGATCATCATCGGCTACAAAACCTGGGGTTAATGGTGAAAAACCTGCTTTTTCACCAACGAGGAAACTATCCGAGGTGCTAAAAACCTTTTCGATCAGGGATATGATGGTTAGATAGGACACAGTTAGGAGTGATATACCCTGAGTTAGTTCATCTTCGAGTTTCTTCTAGCAGGAGTTATGAATTTTTCAAGTTATGAGCAAAATGTGCGTTTTTGCCCCTAAATCTTACGAGGAAATTACCCAAACTGATTAATCGTTTTTGAGTTCGAACTCTGTACATAAGGTAGACTCCAATGAGGCATGAAAAACCTCAAAAGTATAAGGGCCCATACGCCTTCCGTCTAGAGTTATAGCCATTTTATTGGAATTTTCACCTATAGCACGATATGCACTAACAAATAGAATGACTGTATTTCGACCTGCAAATTTGCCTACCGATAAATCTACTTGTGACTAGAATGCTCCGAAACTTTCAGCTAAAAGAAATGTTTCCTTCACGAGATATGGAATTTTCAAAAATCACTCATATTCCATGAAAGATGCGGAAGTCACATGTCTTTTTGGAAATTCAACATCTCGTGAAGGAAACATTACTTTTAGCTGGAAGTTTCGGAGCATTCTAGTTACAAGTAGACCTATCGGTAGGCAAAATTTCAGGTCGAAATACAGTCATTCTATTTGTTAGGGCTATCGTGCTATAGGCTAAAATTCCAAGAAAATGGCTATAACTCTAGAGGGAAGACCTATGGATCCTTATACTTTTGAGGTTTTTCATGCCTCATTAGAGTCTACCTTATGTACAGAGTTCGAACTCAAAAACGCATATTTTGCTCATAACTTGAAAAATTCATAACTCCTGCTAGAAGCAACTTGAAGTTGAACTAACTCAGAATAATCACTCCTAACTGTGCCCTATCTAACCATCATATCCCTAACCAAAAAGATTTATAGCACTTCGGGTACTTCTCTCGTTAGAAATATTTAGTTTGTAAGCTTATATTCCTCTTCCCCCCCCCCCCCCCCCTTTCCCCAGAATAAAAGCCCACTCTATAGTAGAAGTCTAGTCTCATGACTAAAATTTTCCGGATATAATAGAAGCTCACTGAGTTCGAAATGTGTACATGTAGAGAAATTAAGAACGCAAATAATTTTGTTGATAATATTCACTGTTTTCAATTAAATGTTGAGGTGCTCGTCAATCTAATTCTTTCGTTTTTCAAATGTTTTTCTTGTTGAATTGATGAACTCCGTACATCAGCTGTAACAAGTCAATAACTCTGCTTTTAAACAGGTTTTTTTTTCTTTTCTGTATTCCAAATCGTAAGATACATAGGGATGTCTCGAGCAGAGGGGATGGTCGTGCGTCACCTCCCAATAGAATCCATCGGAATTGCTTCGAACCCACTCAGATTCGGGTCGGGTCCGGATGTAAAAATTTTGAACTCATCAGATTCGAGTCCGGATCTGAAATTTTTTACTGCTCGGATCCGGATGGAAAAAAGCTTTGATGGATAAAATATTTTTTTAATTTAATTTTTTCTGTTTTATTCAAAAAATCTTTAATTTATTTATAAGAAAACTAGAAGAAAAATGACAACATTTTTATTGACTATAATATCCAAATCTATTCGCCATGATGCTTAGATCCAAAAATATTTAACAAACCACGTTCGAATCGGCTCCGGATCCACGTCTAGAAATTCTTAGACCTGATAGGTTCTCCCCTCGAATCTTCGAAAAGTTCTTGTTTTTTTGAAAAAATCTTCGACCTTCTCTGCCCAAGTTTTCCCAATTCGGTAAATTCCTAAATATATACAATCATATACGCACTTTAATACATTTACTACAATCGTAGGGGATTTTGTTTTTTGAAAACGGTATTTCAAATTTTCCTGTACGAGATGAAAAAAGTTGATCGTAATAGGAACCTAGTGGGTTTTATTTTCGTGAGGGGTTTAGAAAAAAATGTTTCATAAGACGTTATATAATGACATCCAAGTTGCTGAAGCGAATTATTATTTTTGCTGTTCTTGCGCCTTGTATATAAATGTTACCCTTTTGTGAAAAATGCATTGCATCGAGTGTCATTTTTTTACTCTAAGCAAACGATCAAAGCACGTGTCTTTTACTTTTCTGTTCTAAACAGTGACAATGTGGTTCTCTATTTTTATAATCGTTGTATTTTTATATGTTGTTTATCGTTTATTAAAATTTTGGATATTTAATCCATGGCGTATTCACAAAGATTTTTGGGCACAAGGAATTCCTGGACGATACAAGCCTATAATTGGTGAAATTTTTAGTATACGTCGTGCTATTCTTGCTGACGATCCAACGTCTTTTACTATTGAAATGACAAAAAAATTTGGTAGTTATTATCATACATCATTTGGTCCTATAGCTCGTCTAGTTATTAGTGATCCTTTATTAATTCAAGGTGTATTGAAAACAAATGCTCGTTGTTATCATAAATCTCCTTTAATGCGATCTGTTCTTGGTTTTGTATTAGGATCTGAAAATCTTTTAATGGCTGAAGATAATATTCATGCTCAACATCGACGACTCATATCACCTGTTTTTCAACATCAAAATTTAAAGTCTATGATTTCACTTATGATTGAAATAACGTCTAATTTTCTTAATAAATGGTTATTAAATATTACTAATACAACTAATAAAAATAATACATTAATTATTGATATTCATAAAGAAATGACAGGTTTAACATTAGATATTGTCACTGGATGTGTCTTTGGAAGTGGATTAATGAAAGATGAATATATACGAGAAACTATTTATCAAGGTGTTACAAAAGCAGTAGAAGATATTGGAGAACGAACATTTAATATGATTGGTATTATTCCAATTATTAATCAATTACCATTACCAAGTAAAAGACGAATTGATAAATCAAAAGAAAATATTAGACATGCTGTAGAACATATTATTGATGAACGAAAAAAAGGATTTACTAAATCTGCATGCAAAGGTTTTGTTTGTTTTTTTAGACTTTCATCTATGACTTATTCATTTTTATTTTTATAGGACCTGATTTACTTGATTTACTTTTATCTGCACATGGAAATGATAAAACAAGTAAATTTACTGATAAAGAACTTTTTGAAGAAGCTTTAACATTTGGTATAATAACTCATTATATATTCTATTGACTTTATTTCATAATTTAGTACTTGCTGGTCATGAAACAACAGCAACATTAATGACTTGGACATTATACAACTTAGCCAATAATCCAGATATATATCATAGATTAGTGACAGAAATTGATTCCATATTGAATGATAATGAAAAAATAACAGCAGAAACACTTTCTCTTTTAACTTATACAGAACTTGTACTAAAAGAATCATTACGACTTCATCAACCAATTTCAGCATTGTTTCGTACAGCAATTGAAGATAATACTTTAATTGCTAGTGATGGAAAACATATTCATATAAAAAAAGGAACTGATATTTGTATTAATTTATTTATGCTTCATCAGTAAGTTAATATTATTCTTACTTATATTTATCTAAATAATAAAATAGTTCAGAAAAATATTGGCATGAACCATTTAAATTTGATCCATCAAGATTTGATGAACATCATCATCTTGATACATATTTACCATTTTCAATTGGATCTCGTTCATGTATTGGGCAAAATTTTGCTATATTAGAAGCAAAAATTATGTTAGCAATGATTATTAAACGATTTCGTTTTGAACTTATACCTGGTCAAAAACATGTTCCGGATATGGCTATTACAACAAGGTTAGAATTATTTTTTTAAAGATCTAAGAAAAAATCTGTGTTTTCTAGACCAAAATATGGAATGTGGATGAAGATTTCACCTCGATAATGAATATGTTTTTAGAAAAAACTTTCATGTCTTGTTTTTTGTTGATTTCTTGTTTTTTATACATGGTTATTGTATACATTTAGCGATATCTAGCAAGAAAAAATAAGAAACGTTCAACTAGTCAATAAATAAAATTTCAATGGACATATCAATAAACTGACCATCGTCTATCTATGTAACAAAGATAAGGAAAAAATACATTTTTGTATTTTGATAAGCAGAGAATGACGGATGATCATCGAGATTTTTCTTTTTCAACTTTATCATCAATCGATCCAATAGATATTTCATTGAAAAATACTGATTTTGAATCATCATTAAATTCATATTCAAATGTATTTGATAGAGCTTAACGTAATTTTACTGCTAGTTCAGAAATTCTATGTATTAATCTAAATAATGAAGAATTAGACAAAAATCCATTACCAATTGTTAATCATAATCGTATATTTACTAAAGAAATATCATAACAAATTATTAATGCATTTACAAGAAAACCTATTAGTCCAAATCCATGGAGAAAATTATGTACAAAAATATTCAACATCAAATAGAAACACATTAGATTATACCAATTGAAATAGTTCCAATTAATTCCGATATAAAACAACCAAAGCAAGAGAAAAGTATGTAGGGAAAAAAAGATACTGATGATGGTCAAATATTTTTTGCTAGTGTTTTAGCGATTCTACAAGATCAATTCCACAACAAAATAGTAACATATCAATCGAGAAGGTATTTTCGTATCTGTTGTTTTTTCATCGTTGAATATTTGAGATATTCGATGGTTTTGATCATAATAATTAAACTCTCCATCTTCTTTAAATCATATTTCTTCTATATTACTAATAGTGAGAAATACATTGGTTCAAAATTATTGCTTATTTCTTTTTACTACAATTTTCTTTCAGTAAAAACAAGGTCAACAGAAACATTGTCTGTGACAAGAAAATTTCCTTTAACATTCATATTATGTAAACTTCTTTATATTACATTTAACGAAGATTTAGGGGCAAAAACGCACATTTTGCTCATAACTTGAAAACTTCATAACTCCTACTAGAAGCAACTCGAAGATGAACTAACTCAGGGTATATCACTCCTAACTGTGTCTTATCTAACCATCATATCCCTGATCAAAAAGGTTTTTAGCACCTCGGATAGTTTCCTCGTTGGTGAAAAAGCAGGTTTTTCATCAGTAATCCCAGGTTTTGTAACCGATGATGATCTGAAAGGACTTTCATAGTTCATATTGGACAAGATCACGTTGGTTTAGCTATTATGAATATTTTTTCACAAGATTAGAATAATGAATGAAGAAGATACAGAACTAAAAATCTGGATATAAAGCCAAACGAGCATCTCAAAAAGAATTGATTTTTTGTTTACTAAAAAGCTTTCAGCACTTAATATATTGATATTCGTAATCAGCATGCTTGACACTATCAAGAAATATGTGTTTAAATGAAATTGAAAATAAAAAGTTTTTCAGAGATTCCTGTGGAAATCACAGGTCCTAAAAATCGTTTAATGAGCTATGCGAAAAAAATCCTATGGAATATCATCAGGAGTTATGTCTTATTTCAAATCGATAGAAAAAAGCTAATTTTGTTGGGGGCAGAAAAATGGCCTTGTCCGCCCTCGTCCTTTGTTTGACTTCATTGTACAAGTTTGTATTTTTACTTCTTACCTTTCTAAGGATTGGTATGTCAAAATGGATTCAATTCGGCCGTTGGACAGACTGTTTTTATGCTATTGGCGGTAAAAAATACGTTGGCGCATTCAGTGGTCAATCGTGGTCGGGACAACGCAATTCCAAAAAAGGTTTGTGTTACTTTCATTATAATCAGGAATCACAATTGATACCATGCACCTTTATTTTGGATAATTTGGAATGTGCTGCTGGTGTACTAAATTTCGTTAAATGTGCTACAAAATTGCCACTTTTCGTTCACCAAAATTGCACCAGTGACATGCATGTTAGTGTTGTCTGTTCTAATGGCGGCTAGTTGAGTTCCGCCTATTTTGTTTTGTTCCAATTGGAGAGAAATAAACTGTCTTTTTTGAAAGAGAATGAAACATCTGTTCACATTTGCAGAAAATACACATTCTTTTTTCTTAGCACCGACCTTTACTGTGACAAGTACACAAGTACCATTAATCAGCACCACGCCTTCAGTTAACGATCCTGATCTGAAGTCAGGGTTGCCAGATCCAAAATTTAGAAATCGGATTTTCTTATGGAAAAATTCGGAAAAATCGGGGAAATTCGGAAATTTTTTTAATCAATTCGGAAAAAATTCTGAATTCAATTTTTTAACATTTATGGTAGTAAACTGACCGTATTTATATTTAAAGAATATTGTCTACATCACTCATAATTTATTTTTTATACAATTTATTTATAAAGAAAAAGTTGAAACGTTATTTCACTATTAAAACCAATTGCTTTCTAGAAAATGTAACCTTTCGAGAAAAAAAACAATATAAAGTTTATATACTGTCCCATAAATAACTTGGCGATAAAAAATTTAAATATCTTCCAGTAATTGCGTACCAGACAAGCTGAACTTTTGATCAGTACTAGGGGCTTAAATTTCTTCTTCATAAGAGAACCATCGATAAATACTGTTTCTAGGCTAGAAGACCAGCATCAATAATGGTTTTTCGCTTGTTACGAACTACAAAAAACGTTTCATGATGATTCCGGAGTATTTTTTATAAACATTTTCCCGTCTATTTGTAATCTCTTACACACAAATAATAAGATCCCATTATAACTGAAGTGTTTACATACTTAAATTTTCAGATTCAAAATAAAGCTAGTGTGTGTGGATAGATGTGAATTTTGGTCTTCTCACTCATATACCCACACCTACACTGTCACTGACCCACATCCATCCTCGTTTCAAACTTATTATTTGTTACTATGACTTTTGACAGATCTTATTGAGATATTATAGTTTTATAAAAATTATTGCATGAAATATTTGAATTTTTTTGGATTTTCAACTCCGCTACAACTAATTGAATATTCATACGATTGCGATAATTGGTCCATAAATGATTCATTTGACTAAATATAGATTCAACATATGATTTACTGTATGGAATAAAAAAAACGCAATATATAATTGTTGGAATATTAGATGTTACATCTTTAAGATTTACTAAATATGACCATAACTGATCAGAACGAATGTTTTCGTCTGTGCTTTATTGTCATGTAATAAAAAAATCTTCATCATCACTGTCATCACATAAACGATTTTCTTCGTTGTATGTGGTTGATTATGCATTATGAGTATTTTTATTTAAAATGTATGATTTTATTATTTATTCCATATCACATTTTTATTTTTCAAATTATCGTACATAAATTTTAGTTCACAATATTCATTATATAGCTCATCTTTATTTGAATCATCAATCTTGATCAGATCAAGAACGTTCATAATATATTCCTTTTTAAGAAATCAAGCAGAATGAGAATCAAAAACCAATGATTTTTCACAGAAATTGCGATCTTTATCAAAATATGAATGAATATATTCAATAGTAACTTGGATGAGTGATTGAAATGATTGTTGTAATTCTTCAGCTTTATTCTTATCAGAATCTTTACATAGTTGGATATCGTATGCGCTTTATCGCCAAAATAATGATCATTTAATCGTTGTTCAAATATTTTTTAATCAAATCAGAAATAATCCGATAAAGATCAATAGCTGTTATATGTTCATCTGAGTACATTGTAAAGTAAAAAGTGAAATTCGGAAAACAATCCCAATTCGGAAGAATTCGGAAATTCAGAGCACCGTCGGAAAAAAGTCAAAATTCGGAATTTTTCCTGTCATTTCGGAAGGTCTGGTAACCCTGGGTTCAATGAAAAATTTAATGAGAAGACATAATTTCAGATATTTTTAAAGACTTTTGTTACATATGACTTGTGCAAAAAAAAAAGAATTAGTTTTCCTTTGTTCTTCATCAAATAGCGTCATCTATATTAGATAGATTTTATTTAGAGACATCAGAAATCGTACATGATAATGTTTTTAATTGGATACTTCGAAAAGGAAAAACTTTTTTTTCCGAATTTCTATTTACATTATCAATTAGTTAAATATATTTTAGCATGAATAAATCATCTGAAGCATCTACAAAGAAAGTTGCTTGTTTTGAACCACGAGAACAAGCAATGGATATGCAAAACAAAGTATGTGTATAAAAAACAAAAATAAAAGAAATCTTGTTTCGACAAGAAAATTTTATATTTATATAGAATGGCACAAATGAACTTGATAAATTGGCTCCAGAAGATATGACATCAAAAGAATATTATCTTGATTCAACAGCTCATTTTGCTGTTCATGAAGTTAGTTTAAAAGAAATATTTTTTTTTTTAAATATTTTATTAATTCATTGTATTTTTTTCTTTTTGTTAGGAATTATTAAAAGATGAAATACGTACAAAAACATTTCGTAATGCAATTATTAATAATCGACATTTATTTAAAGATAAAATAGTATTAGATATTGGTTGTGGTGTTGGAATATTTAGTTTATTTGCTGCTAAAGCTGGTGCAAAAATGGTTATTGCTGTAAGAATCTTTTTTTTTCTTCTTAAAATTGAAACAAATATTTACATTATTTAATTAGGTAGAGAAATCGAATGTAATTGAATATGCAAAAAAGATTATTCGTGCAAATCGATACGATAAAGGTCAATTAATATTTAACTAAATTTTCATATGAAAGAAAAAAAATTTTTTTTTTTTGTTTAGTTATCAAAGTTATTAAAGGTAAAATAGAAGACATTGAATTACCTGAAGGTATTCAACAAGTTGATGTTATTATTGCGGAATGGATGGGTTATTCATTATATTATGATTCAATTATTCAAAGTGTTATTTATGCAAGAGATAAATATCTTGTACGTTTATTTGAAAATTTTATAAATCATCAAGTCTAATGAACGAGATCATTCTATTGTCTATACTAGACATATGCTTATGATAATTCAATTGATATGAATTTGATCAGATGAGAAACGCTTTTGTTAATTATAATAACGATCGTATTTTGACAGTTTATAAAGCTGAGTATTATGATCGTGACAATATACGAAGCAAAACTTGCTTTTTGTCTTCTTAAGAATCGTCGTATTTCTTCATTTACAATGCGATCGTAATGTTGAGTCATGTAAATCGCTGCTTCTCTTCATGTACGATTGTCTAGAATCGTACTTATTTAATCTGGATGCTTGAAACATTTCCATAAAAGTCGCCTGTTCTAATATATTTCGAATTCAATGATGATTTTTTTTTAGTAATCTGATCGTTCGGTTCTACTTTTGAATATTTCTTTAGAAACCTGATGGTGTTATGTTTCCTGATCGTGCAACAATGTATGTGGTTGGTATTGAAGATCGTGATTATAAAGAAGATAAAGTAGAATGTAAGTTTATCTTTCTTTTATTTAATCTTATTTCATATAGAATTTATTTAAGGGTGGTCAAATGTTTATGGTTATAATATGAGTTGTTTAAAGAATTATGTAATGCGCGAACCATTAGTTGATACAGTTGATAAACGTCAAATTTGTACGGATCATTTTCCACTTAAAGTATAACAAACAAAAAATACTTTTTTTTTTGTTCTTCTCAAAATTAAATTTCTCTTTTTTTAATTAGACAATTGATCTTAAAACAATGACTGTTGATGATATTAATATCGATTCAAAATTTCGACTTTCTGCTTTACGTGATGATTATATTCATGCATTTGTTATTTATTTTGTCGCAGAATTTACCGCATGTTCACAAAGAACAGTACTTAATACCGGTAAAGAAAATTTTGAAAATATCTTACCAGATTTAGTGACCTATCTTAAAAATCAAGATACCATAGATGTGGTTTTTCTAGAGCAAATTATCGGTGCATCGAATGATATATAAGAAAATTTTTCTTTTTTGACCTTCAGATCCCTGAAAGAGGAGATATCGAGAAATTTGTATATTCGGAATAAAAATAACAGATCTCCATACTTCTGAAAGTCAAAAATTTTCTTATATACTATTTGATGCGCTAGAAATTACTCGAGAAAATCGCATCTATAGTATTCTAGTTCAAGATAGATCGTCAAATCTGGCAAGATAAATTATTATTTTATTCTTCTAGCACCTGGCGCTGGTTATACACATTGGAAACAGACAGTTTTTTATTTTCCTGATTATGCAACAATAAAACGTAATGAAACATTAGAAGGAACATTTTGTTGTAAAGTTAATCTTGAAAATACGGTATTATTTAACCATATAAATATTTTCAATTGTTTCTTTTTTTTTTGATTTAATTTTTTTATAGAAAAAACTTGAATTTGGTATTGATTTTCAATTTGATGGTCAATTATCATCTTTACAAAGTAAAAATCAATATTTTATGAAAGGTTAAAAACATTTATTGTATGAACAAATCGTTAACATTTGTTTGTTTTTGTTTTGAAATAAGTAAAAAAAAAAAAACAAGATATTATAAACTTCATTGTTTTTTGTTCGTAAAATTTTATCATTAAAATCTATAAAGCGATTTGATGATCAATTTCGCTTGGTTCAATCTAAAACAATAAAAAAAAACAACATAGTATTAATAATTAATGATTGTAATATTTTTGTATATCGAATAGTGTAAATCATAAATGAATTTGATTCTATTGAATAACTTATGTAAATGGTTTGTATTAATTTTTGTTTTAGTTGTTATACTCCTAAGTAAACATGGTTAGTCGAAAGCACTTTTGATTGTATGTCAATATACATGTTATCATAGCCGAACAAGATATTACAAATATTTAGAGAAAAAAAACCTGAATATAAGACATGATTGGAACTATTTTTCTTATGTATGAGAAAAGTTGCTAATCTTCTGATTAAGTCTCTACAGAACTTGAATTTATATTCTCTAAACATATTATCTCAATGTCTGATATTCTATACAATGAACGAAAAAGAATTGAAAAGCCAATTTTTTTTGTCGTACTCTTTATATTTAGTTGATATGTGAAGTAGGTAGCAAACATAGTTTTATCTAAATCCAGAAAAGCATATTTGGTAATTCTATTGCCATGTAATATAACTATGATCTATTGATAACATCTTGTATTTACTGAAATACTTGAGATAGTATAATATATAATAACGGAGAAGAATCTATAATATCGATGCTTTAACAAAATAACTTAATTCATTGATGTTATCAGCAAGTGCTTGTTGTTTGAATAAAAACTGTACAATACAATGTTTATTGCTTTTGTACCTGTAAAATGAACATAAATTAATTTGTTGAACCATAAAAAGTCGAATAATGTATAACAAGATTATTCTTTGTTAGATGTTTCATTAGGATACATGAAAATGTAGTACTGTACATCATCTCATCTAATGGGAATATTTCCTTAATGGTAAATGCTTGAGAAATAAAATTTTTATCGTTAAGAGCCCAAAAAAAGAAATTAATTTTGGTCAAATTTATCGATTTTGTGATTTATAGTGCGTTCGACAGAACAAAGTGTCTCCTCTCGAATGCACTGTAGTGTGTTGATTTCATGATAAGATTTAAAGATGTTATATAGGTTTTTCTGAACCCTCACACAGAAGAAAATAAGGTTTCTTTTTTAAAAACTTTTGGTTTTTACGTTTCCGTGCGTTGCAGATTTCTTCGCCATTTTAAACGTTAGAAAACTGGGCTTGGTATTAAAGTGAAGACAAAATTTCGATCTACAACTTAATAGAACCGAATTTCTCGATTTTTCCATTAATATTTATAAAAAAAAACTAACTGTTCTGAATCTACACCCTCCCTGGGTTTTCCATATTTCATCAGAGGAGTTTTCTAGAAACATAAGCTATGAGAAAAACGGTCCCTGTTAAATTGTAGCGATATGTCTTGACTACATTTTAAAATCATCCCGAACTTTCTGGCATTTGAAATGGCGGAGAAATTTGGAACCCATGGAAACCTAAACTTTGACCCATAATCTTAGGGTAACTCTTCGTAGACTCAATGTATCGAGCTGAAATTTTTACTATGAGGTATCTAATTCAAATTCCATCAAGATTGGATGCTCGAAAAAAAAATTCTTTTTGTGAGGAGACCTCTTAATACAACGTCTTAAGTTCTATCTAATCTGAAATTTGGCATACACAATTGAAGCAATGGCTCATAAGTTCTAAACCAAAAAAATAAGTTTCAAAAATGTTACTGTACAAAGTGAGTGAATATATCCCTTTTTCTAACAAGTCATCGAAAAATTTTTTAGATAAGATGTTTGTTTACTATTGATCAGCTAGAAAGTATTTCCGACAAGTCAAAAGCTATGATTTTGTGCTTTTTTCAAATATGGGCTTAGAAATTTTGTTAGAGAGTAGTGAACTAATCTTTGAAAAAATTAAATGTGGAAAATTTTTGTATTTTCACTATTGCAATTTGAAATTAAAAGTTCGAATCTTTATTTATATATCAGCTTGTAGATTAGAAACTACTCGGATAAACAAAAAAACTGTTGACTCATCATCATTTTCAGGTCTTTCAAAAAGTTCCTCGCTACTCTAACCACACAAAATTCTGTTCCTAACTCATGACTGTTAACGCATCGACAAATACTTTCTAGTGAGTCATTTAAAGAGTTTTCAACTATTTGATATATTGATTTTTCTAAGTAAGTTTTTTGTAGCTTGTAGTAGTACTGATTTCGTATTACAATTGATACTTTAAAATACTAATTGTACAATAAATTTATATACTTTTTGTTTTATTTTAAAGGCATGATCAATATTCAACTAACAAGAATGACAATGAATTATTCGAATGGCTTAAATGTATATCTTGTTTATTCATTACTCAATTGTTTGTAAAAGCCGAAGAAGAAGTGCAGTCTTAATCTCTTGAACTATGATCAAAATGACAATACAAGAGAAAAAAAAAGAAAGAAAATGAGAAGAGAACAAAGAGTTAGAGATCGAGTGAAGAAATTGTTAAATAAATATAATCACATAAAGCCGAGAGACAATAGAACGACCCGATCCGATGACCACACTTGATCGAGAAAGAGACGAAAATAAAGGTCTACTCGTATATATATTTTTTCTTTCGCCTACTTTTACGTCACGTTTCTCCGTTATCGATCCGTATGTCTATGTAATTTCTTGATCGTTCATGTTTCATCATTGTTATAATCGACGAAGAAGCCACTTTGTAGGGTCTCATACACTTCCAGAATAGTGATACAAAGAATAACTATGAAACTTTCATGTTCTCTTTTATTTATATTCTTCTATAAAAGTAATATAATAATATTCTTTTGAAATACAAAAAATAGATAATTATTTATTTCAATTTCTTTTTAGTATCTATTCTTCTTGCTGCTGAAGAAAAATTTAAAATTGTATGTTACTTTGCAAATTGGGGTAAAACAAAAAATATTTTTTTTTGTATTTTGTTTTTTCAACATATAATATATTTTATATTTTATTCTATAGCTGTAAAACGTCCCGGTGGAGGTTCAATGACTCCTGAAGATATTGATCCTTGTCTATGTACACATGTTATATATGCTTTTTCGGAAATGGATAATAATCTATTAATACCAATGGAAAAACATGATTTAAAAGATGGTAATCAACCAGGTAAGTATGAATATGAGATTTTGAATTGTAGAACTTTCCATTTTTTGTTTTGTATCAAAGGCTTTTTTGAACGATTTAATGCTTGGAAAAGTGTTAATAAAAATTTAAAAACTTTACTTGCTGTTGGTGGATGGGTATGATTTTTTGTTTTGTTTACAGAAAATATTTATTAGAATTGTTTTATAATTTCTATAGGATATGGGAATGAAAGATTTTGCAGGTAAAATAACAATAATTAATCTCTTATTTTTATTTCATATATTATAATATTTTATCTCAAATGAATATCTTAGTTAGGCTTCGAATTTTTTGTTTTTTGATAAAATAAATCAGAGAAAAATTGACACTTTCAACAGAATTACCTTAACTATAAACCAACGTCATATTAAACCCACAAGGAAGTCTCAGCAAGACTAGGAGAATCCTAAAATGGTTCGTGCCTATAAGACTCTAAAGCCAAGTTATAAACATTTCACTGGATTTTTAACCTATTTTGAGATACATACTGGAAAATCAAATAATGAAATTTTATCCATAGATAGATCGAATGAGGCTTAGAATAACATGAAAATTTCAGGCGAAAAGAATGTTCTTTTGCTATCTGTGGGTGAAATTCTGTCATGTGAATTTTCGGTAAATACTTATAATTGGTTCGAAAATTCAGTAAAATGGTTATAACTCGACTCCAGAGGCCTATGAACACGAAGCCTTTTGAGGATTTTTCTAGTCTTGGCGTAACGTCATTGTTACATTTGTAAATGAATGATAATCAATTTTACTATAGAAAATCAAAAAGATAGAACGACATTAACATACATATATTTTATTAATAGGTATTGTTAAATCAGAAAAAACAATGAAAAAATTTGCTGAATCAGCAGTAAAATATTTACGTAAACATAAATTTGATGGTCTTGATCTTGGTAAGTAAATTAATTTAAAAAAAAAACTTAAATGATAAATTTTATTTATTTTCTAGATTTTGAATATCCTGGTAAGAAATAATTGCTAATAAAAATAATTGAATGAAAATCATTGAAATAATAGGTGTTGATTGGAGAGATAGTCCAAAAGAAGATAAACAAAAATTTACAAAAATGTGTGAAGTTAGTAAAAGAAATTTTTGTTTTTCATAAGTTGATTAGTCTGTTCTTTTTTTCTTTCAATTAGATTTTATATGCAACATTTGAAAAAGAAGTAGAAACTAGTGGTGGTGAACGTCTTCTTTTAACAGCCGCTGTAGCAGCTGCAAAAATTAATATTGATAAAGCATATGAAGTCGATAAACTTGTTCCGTAAGTTTAATTATCTTCATTCAAAAAGGTTTCGCTAGTCGACAGGATCATTTTATGATCGAAATTAAGATACACTGGCTCTTTTTACATCAAAGAAAACGAAAAAACACAGATTATCTCCATTCCTCTGCTTATATCTTATTTGAAAGAACAAGTAAGCCGATTTTCAATATGATTACTAATCGGGACGCAACTGCTGTAGAGAATTTTGTGTTCATTAGGGAAAAAGTTTCAAAAAAGGTGGGGGCCTATGGCTCTTAAGGCATCAATTTTTGCCTGTTTGACTAGTAGTTCGCAGATTTTGCTTAAAGTTGATACGATATTCTGAATTAGTATCAGAATCTGAGTCGACTTATGTGCATTTCAAATATCTTTGAGACAGTTTTTTTTTCATCAAAACAGTCTTTCTATTACTTCGTCATCTTCCATTTTGTGTCCTACTATCATTTTGAAACCTTAGAATTTGTTTTCCATTGCTAAAATAAGTTTTTATTGAATTTCATTTTTTGACTAAACCAAAGATGGGCAGCTCCGACCATTTCTTTCTCCAGCACCTGTCACTAATGAGTCCGCTCCACCCCAGACTGGAAAATTTCTCTGCCGACTCCGCTTCAGCTCCATGGAGCGGATGTTCCAGAGTAGGAGCTGCCCATCTCTGGACTAAACCATGAGGAGGATCAGGGGCGAATTTTCCAATGGAAAAAAGATGTCTCGAAGATATTTGAAAGACGCATACGTCGACTCGGTTTTTGATGCTGATTCAGAATATCATATTAATTTTAATCAAATTCTCAGTTTTCTAATCAAAATCTACTAAATATCAGTTAAATAGGTCAGGAATAATGCGCTCCCATGTTTTCTCAAACTCTCTACAACAAGCATTATATTAAAGTTTCGCTTCGAGATTAGTAATCATATTGAGAACCGGCTTACTTGTTTTTTCAAATCAGATATGATCTTTCTTTTTCCATTTCTCAACGTCTCCTCTATGTTCATCAAATTGCAGGAGTCGAAACATTCTTTCATAAATCTACTTTACTGTTAGGAATCGATTGATGTAAAAAAAAAAGTATACCTGAATTTCGACCATAAAATCGACTTTCTCTGATGAGTTTTGTATAGTTTTTCTTAAAATGACAATTTCTATTTTCTTTTTTTTTTCTATTTTTAGAGTAATGGATTGGTATGTAAAAGTCAGAATGAAATTGTTAATTTTCTTGTTTTTTTTCTTTCTCTAAATAAAGGTTTAATTTAATGACTTATGATTTTCATGGATCATGGGATCAAAATCGTGCACATCATTCATCACTTAATAGTAAAGATGATGAAAAAGATGATACAATGTATATTGTATGTATCAATATATATTCTATTTCTTATCTTTAGTAAATTCTATAGGATTTTGCTGTAAAATATTTTCAAAAATTGGGTATGCCAGCAAATAAAATGATGTTAGGTATAGGAACATATGGACGTGGTGATACACCAGCTATGCCTTATACAGGATTTAAAGGTGAAAATGGTTTTGTTGCATATTATGAAGTAAGAAGAATAGAAAACATTTGTTTCTTTCTTTTTTTTTTGTCTCAATTGCATAAATTTCTAGAGTTGTATTCAAATTGTTTGTGAAAAAATGAAAGAAACATGGGATGCAAAACAACTTGTTCCATATATAGCTGGACCATATAATCAACCAAAAGCTGGCGTAGAAAATGTTCGAAGTATGAAATATAAAGTAAGAAAAACAAAACAAAAAAGAATTGTTTTGATGTTTTGTTTTTTTTGTTCAAAAAAAAAAAGGCAAATTATATAAAAAAAAATAATTTGGGTGGAGCTATGATTTGGACACTTGATATGGATGATTTTCGTGGACAATTTTGTTGTCAAGGAAAATTTCCTTTAATAAAAACAATTAAAGCCGTTTTACATGGACAACTTAAATTATTACCAAAAGAAAAAATTTGTTCAACTTGTCCAACTAAAGAATATAAAAGTAGAACAAAGATTTTTTTCTTTTATAAATAAAAAATATGTATATTTATTTTATTAGATTTTAAACCTGAAATTCAACCACAAACAACAGAAAAAACAACAAAAAAACCAAAAAAATCAAAACGTGATGCAGAGACACCATGTAACAAAAAAAAAATTTGAAGAGAATAAATTTTCTATAGATATTTTTTTTAATTTTCTATAGCACCTCAAGATGTATGTGAAGAATTAAAAGATGGTCAATGGCCTGATCCATCAGATTGCAAGAGTTATTATTTATGTCGTGGTGTAGGCACTCAATGGGGTGAACAAAAACGTGAAGTGTGCTATGCTGGTAAGAAGAAATCTCCAATAATTGATTGAAGTATTCTCTTTTCCGAATTTCTCGATTAAGAAACTTTTAAAACAAAGAGATCATGACAAATAGAACAAAACGTCTCATAGACTCAAAATTTTCAGATTGATCAGCAGAATAATAGTAAAGTTGTAATTTATACTAAATAATCTTTGTTCTTTTTATATTCATTGTTTTTAATAAAAATTAAATATAGTAAAAAATTTCAGTTTTCTATTTTAATTGAAATAAGAGGGAGATATCAGTGGCGAATTTCAGTTTTCTTGTTTTTTCATTTATTTGCTTGAATACTACCGGTCACAGTAACTAGTGGCCGTGACGGATTTGTAGGCTCTACTTAAGGAATTAATAGTTTTTGTTTTACACTAATCAAGAAATTCGTCTGTCGACGTCGTTTTGAATAATTATGACTTTTAAATTTAATTAGAATCGTTAATACTCTCATTTTCAAACTAACGAGAGAACCTTCCCAACTTGATTGAGATCGGACTTTGTGCATATGATAGATTCTAGTGAGATATTAAAAACCTCAAATGGATAAGAGAATCTAAGCCTTCTCTACAAAGTTGCAGCCATTTTATGGAAATATTAGTCTAAAGCACAGTATGTACAAAAGAATTGAATGATAGTATTTCGACCTGAATAGTTATAACTAGAATGTCCTGAAAATTTCAACTTAAAAGAATGTTTCCTTCATGTGGTATTGAATTCCCAAAAATCATTCGTATTTGACGGAAGGTTCAAGAATCTCATGTTTTTGTTTTTTGAGAATTCTATATCTCATGAAGGAAACATTCTTTTGAGCTGAAATTTTAAGGACATTCCAATTACAACTTTTCAAGTCGAAATATCATCATTCAATTCTTTTGTACATAGGCTAAAATTCCAATAAACTGTCTATAATACTGTAAGGAAGACCTAGGACCCCTTATCCTTTTGAGATTTTTAATACCTCATTGAGGTCTACTGTATGCATAGAGTTCGGACTCAAAAGCAATTTTCAAGTCGACAAGGTTCTCTCGTAAGGTAAACTGTAGATATTTGTAAATTTCGATTGTTCGACAAATAACCAGCCAAGTCCTATCATGTATACATGCAAAACTAAATGCTGAATGAACACTCTTATATATATATTTCTTTTAGGTTCTTATTTTGATCCAAATGAAAAAACATGTAAATGGGTTGGCATGGATAAGGTTTGTTTATCATTTTTACTACATATTTTTTTATTTATCAATATTTTTTCGTTAGCTTAATTGTGAAGAACTTGTTGAAGGTTATGAAAATCCAGTAGCTGGTGTTACACGATCAACTGATGAAGCAACAGACGATGATGATGATGGTGCAGATGATGATGATAATACTTCAACAGATGCAGGTGCTGGATCATCCAAAAAGAAAAAAACTAAAGCACCATCAACGAAATCAATATCAATATTAAGTCGAACAACATCTGAATTTGATACATGTACAGCAGAAAAACCCGTTGAATTTGATCCTGTACAAGGTAAGAAATATATTCCTTTTTTTCTTTTCGACATGACTCGCTTCATCTACTATAGCCTTCTATAGGTATGCTATGTTACTCTTGCGAAAGTCAGAAAGAGAACAGCGATTGCCAAATCAATCCGAATCAGACGACATCGATTATGTGCGAAACGAAACAACAAATTTGTTACAGCAAAAAAGCCATAAACGTCGCCGGTAAAAAACCAAAACAAAGAATATCCTTTATGTTTCTTCTAGTATACATATAAATATATGTATATATATTTGTATATAGGAAAACTACTACAATTCAGTCGTGGTTGTTCAATGCCTCCACCATCAACGGGCAATCTTACTCAACAAGCACAATGTTTGTCAAGCAAAGCCGAAGGCAAGACAATATGCGTGAAATATTGTCAAACCAGCCTTTGCAACAATCAGGACATAAGGTTATTTTTATTTTTTGCTTAAAAAGAAATTTTTAAATAAATATTTTCTATATTTTCTTTTATAGCGATGGCGCTTTGGCCGTTACAGTCAAACGAATAAC